GCAGTAGGAGACTTTAAGGCCTCAGGATGCTTTTATTTCTTTAGGATGTTCCCAGATCAGCGGCAAAGGGCTAACTACATGTTAAACCATCTCTATCTTTACCTTATGGTGGCTGACCAATGCACCAATAACAATATACCTAACGGAATATTGATCTCTGGCTCTTCTGCTAATGGAATAAATGCACGTTTCCCTGAGGATTAGCAAGCTGCAGGATGAGGAGGGACATGCCGTACCTGATGGTTACTTCACTTAGACTCAGCTCAGGCTGCGCATCCAGGAAGCCAGCAGGGCTCACAGGGGCAGAGCAGGAGTTAGTGAAGTGCTCGGCTCTGCCTGTCAGAACCCTGATGTCTGACATTATCACCAGGGACCTGACTGCCCTTTTCCTTTTTGCGCATTAGCCAGATGAAATCCAGTTCTCCAGAGCTCTGAATGCTCCAAAACCACAGAAGCTTTTTGATCTGGGATTCTGATTTTTGGCCTATTTCTCTCAATAATGGAAATCATCCTTAAAAAGAATAATTTTCCAGATTCTGCTCTGTGATTAGCCACAGGGAACCCAGTAAAATTACATCAGATAAATGGACAGAGCTACGTGATTAATAACTCTCAGCAGCCTGCAGAGAAATGTGAAGAGGATATTAACAACTGGAATTGTTTGAGAATAGCAAAAAGAAAGCCTCAAATAATAGACAAAATACATCACAGTCTATAGACTAAGGACTCCTGTTTTCATTTGGTCCCAGACGCAAAGGCACAATTTCCCTTTATCTTCAAATGGATGTACAGGATAAGACTACTAATGGCGGTCTGCTTCTATTCACTCTTGATTTGGGACTTGTTATCACAGGCTGCTCAGCAGTTTAGTGGTATGCTGACTGCCCTCAAGTTGCATTGCAAACAAGGATTTTGGAGAGGGGATCTCATTACTTCTGAGGTATCTATCAGCTCACTTGCCCTCTCAAATAGCTAAATACATTATTTGTAGCAGATGAGTCTCTCTGCTACTGTTGCATCAGTTTCAAAAATCTGTTGTTCAATTTTGCAAGTGTGTTGACACAGAAATGCATCCTCCTCCCTCATTTTATTTTAGGAGGATGTTAATGCTGTGGCCAAGCACAGACTTCTAGCCCTGCAGATAAAAATATAACAGGAGTAGCTGTGTGGGTTTCCCTATCCTGTTCTCCCATCTAATGTGCCTTTGCACCCACCTCCATAGCTGTTCAGCCTTTAGTGTCTTTGCTGTGGTGGCTGCACAGCTGCCGTGTCGAGCTTCTGGCTGCTTAGAGCAAACAAATTCTTAAGAGACAGTTCAATTATTTGGCATGTTGCTATCGATCCCTAGAGGCCATGGCTCTAAGAGACACATTAGGGCATCTAATTTGTCTACCTGCTTCCCATGGCTTATTAATAACTTTGCAGAGCACATACAGTATTGCTGTTTGTGTTTGTACAATGATGTTTACAACATAGCTAGGGGTCTAACACTGCATATAGAAAGTGTTTTGCCTTGTCTGCTACAGAGCAAACTCCAATCAGGATCTTGTAACTTATCTGTGCTAGATGCTTTTATTTAAAGCACAGATCTTCTATAAGTGGAATCCTGCTCTCACGCTGATACACAAAGTGCTCAGCAAAGCACAGAGCCCTCTTCTGCTTTTATAGAACAGCTTCAGAGAACAGCTCTGGGGAATGTGTTTGGGCTTCCTCATTACTCCTCAGTGAATGACAGCAGTTATCCAACTGCCTTGCTCCAAGGAAGGGAGAAGCTACAGTGTTCCAAGCCAAGCTGCGTAAAGTGGTAACACATTTCACAGGACCATACCTATGAAACATACGCCATTCATCCACTTCTCCACTCCTCTCTGTGGCTTCTCTGAACTTAATGATGGATGAGTCCCCTTTTTCAAGGGTTGAATTTAAACCTTCCCTAACCACCCAGAAGATGGAAGTGGTCGTAGTGGATCAAGCCTGAACACAACATCCAGAAATACACTGTATGTTATCACTATCAGGGTAGATCAGAGTTTGAACCAGCTCTGCCCACTGCAATTTAGCAATCTTTAATACACCTGACAATATTCTGTACAGACTCTTGCATGCAGTATCCTTGCACCTGCAACCTAAAACTATTTTTTTCACAACAGAAAAGCTGCATAGTTAGTGTGCAGTTTAACTATGAGATAGGAAATGCCTGCACTTGCTGCCTGCACCCAGTTTGCCATGTCACCTTGTCAAGCCAATTACTTTAATTAAAGTTCTGTCTGGCCCTTCTTGACAACTCAGCCTCCAACGATAAAAATATGTATGACGATGATCTGGATGAAGGAGGCAGAACTCATTGTTTTCCAACACTCCTGCTATTACTATCAATTTCACACAAAAGTAGAGCACTTTCTTTGGGAAAAGCAACACAAAAGTGTCACTCAGCTTCATGAGCAGAGTGGTAGTTCTTTGCTGTTCCCACTCTAAAGTTCTTCATGGGTGAAGAATTTAGTCCAGTGCTTTGGGAGAGAAACACAAACATTGCTAATTGCACTTGGATTAATATTCTAGGAAATTTAAACAAAGCACTCCGCTGGCAAATTCATTAAGCAGTAGAATAATCCCATTGGGCAAGTACCATAGTGTCAAACTGGTTTTAATCATGGTAGAAATGTTTTGCTCTTCATGCAAAAACAGTGATTGCAAGACGTGGCATAACTAGAGAGCCTACAGAAACACTGAAAAAAAGTCCATGAGCAATTGATACAAAGGCAACAGAATATCAGAAAATGGTTGGGGACAGTACATTACATTAAGCAGTATTTCCATGGGTCCTACATGTTCGAACACCACACCACTCCTGCTCAGTTCTGCATTGGAAACTTCTCTGCAGCTTTCCAACCTCACTTAACAGCTTGCTTTCTGCTCAGAGAGGATGAGGAATGTAAGAACAGGAAAGGTACACAATTTATGCAGCTCCCCTGTTTTTTATTATCCTGTGCCTATGAAGGAACGAATACCTATTTTAGGACAGTGAAAATCATCATTTTTGTATCATTCTTAAGACTACAGCTATTTTATTAGACAGAATTTGCTTTCTGTCCCGCTGATCTTCAAGAACTGGGCTTCTCAAACTTTTTCTGAGCACAGATCTCGTCTGTCCTCAACCACCTTCACAAAATCCAGAAGCTCCATTCCTCAAGTGAGTTATTGTTTTTCTCATCCTCAGAATAACTTAGTTTCTTTTCTCCCCCCTGCTAGCTCTGTTTGCATCTTTCCCAGCTTTAAAGGCCAGTTTATAGAGAGGGGAAAAAATATACACAGTGCCTACCGAGTGGTTATAAATACTGATTTGGGGCATGCTGCTTTGATTCAAGCAACTGTCCACCAGCCCTGAAGGAAAATGAGTTTAAAGAGAAAAGAAGAAAAGCCAAGCCTCTCTATACATTCTGCAGCCCTTAGTCCAGCCTCAAGCTCAGTGGCAGGCAAGTGTCAAAAATAGTCTCTGTGCCTGCAGACAAGGCTTTCTGGAATTAGGGTAGTAGCTGTATGAGACAGAAAACCTATACAGTACATGCAGACATAGAGGAAGAATTTGTCTGCTACTCTCAAAATGCAGACATTTTATATGTTTGTGTTTATTTTTTAAGAGGGAAGAGGGAGATTTCCAACAGAGGTGATTTTTTTTTTCTTCCCACAAGATTTTGTAATCTCTGAAACAATGAAGGCTACAGCTTGTTTTGAAAGATACAGCTCTTGAAAAGGAACTGCTCATGGGAACAATGCAGTGAAAATGTTGCCCCTCAACAGAACAAATCCAAATGATAATCAGAGTTGTTACCTAAAGCAGGCTATATGAAAATCACTTCCAAGAGCCTCATCAGAACCGAGAGACATATTAATACTGAAATATAAGCACTTGCATATCTGTCACTTACTACGTTTTTTGTGGTGTTTCTACCCCAGGACATACCTGACTCTTGCACTCACTTCCTCGCGAGCACAGAAGTGTCCAATCTTTCTCTCAATTCTGTTTTTCTCATAGACATAATTCACTGTTAATTAGGCTTTGCAATTTCCCCACATTCTTTTGATACACCAATAAGCTTATGAAAGTACATGGCTGCTGTGGGAAATCTGGATTACAGTGAAATAAGCTGAAAAGCATGGTATTTGGCCTTTGTTTCCTGGAAGGGACACATCTACAAACCACTGCAATCCAGTACCTCTAGACAGAAATGGGAGCTTGTGCTGCTGCTCTGTTTAACACTTCCTCCTCTGGAGTGCAGAGGGTCTGCAGACCAGCCACACCTTGCAATAGCTGTGCCTCCTCCTGCAAACAGCAGACAGGTTTAGCATCAATTCATAGATTATCGGATCCAGTAATTGATACTGCAAGGCGAGTGTTAGATAGCATGCATCTGCCTGTTATAGCTTTAAGACTCATGATTTTGAACACAGCCTAGTAGTGTATGCACATGCTGCAGACTCACACACGATGAACTTGTACTTCATCAGAACTGAGCCAATGCTGACCATTTACTCCATCTGGAAAACTAAGATGTCCAGCAAATATGACATAGAACAATTTCATACAACATTATATCACAGTAAAAAATGCACAAAAAAGCTGACAAAACCCAGAAGAGCTGCTAGAAAAATCTAAACAGTAGAAAATAAGCACTTTCTATATAAATCTCACTTTCTTTTTGTATTTGCTATACCCACGCTGGTCTCTCTTTTATTACATTTCTGTACAAAACTGGTATTGGCTCTGTTCTCAGTTAAAGCTCTCACCTCCATACAATTTGCAATTACATCCAAACTTTCTGCCATCAAGATTCAAGATAATTAACTTGCATTTCATTTCCATGATTGTGGCAGCACTTAATAAACGAAGTCCCTACCTATATGTATTTATATAGATATACATGTATATATACACACATACATACATATGACAAACACTGTTGCAGTTATCCTCTCTTCCAGTGTTTGGAGTGACAGTCATCCTAGAAGGTGAAGGCATACACCACTCCCACAACCACAATATTTCCAATTGTTGCTATTATTGCAATCCATAACAATATGGCATCATTTGAAGAACGGGATGTCTCTTCTGGTGGATTCTGCATGGAAGAAGCTGCATGGACGTTGGCTGATGAGTTAAACAAGGAGTACTCTGTACTAAAGTCCTCGTTGGGTGAGTCCATAAAGGCTCCTCCCATAACAGGAAGCTGTGAAGAAAGATAAGGCAAAATTAGATTGAAGGTCAATCTATTTGCTTTGTCTCAAAGTCATTACAAAAGAGTAACCACTAGCAAACCTGCAAAATTACTGAGATTTCATGTATGTGGTGCTAACCTGTCAGGAACACCGCAGACACACACTTTACACTATTTCTTCCATTTCTGTTAGAATCAATATTATTGCAGGAAACCTATGTATATTACATGGAATATACGTAAGAGCTGGATACAGGCTCCAAATCAACCTAAGTAATTATATGCATTTAGAAAGAAGAGATACAGCTAGCCACAAAGCGCTCACTAAAACATAGGTTTACAGCAACGTGATTGTTTTGTGACTACCAGCAATGGAATCATACTGCACAAAGGCATCAGAGCAAGCACAGCAAGGACGTGATGCAGGGAATTTGTTCTGCCTTTATGTATGGCTCAGAAGTGAACCCTTGATTTGTCTAGAGATCATGCAAAAACATATGAATTGCAAAAGTTGTTACTGTAAAACAGGTGGAGTGTACTCAGTGCTCTAACTTCACTTGCAAAATGCACCATTGCTCACCAATGGAGGATTTATAAATCTATACAGCGGAAAAACTTCAAACTGGATTTTGAAAGGCTCCATAGCAATGAAGTGGCAAATTTCCAACACTTCTCCTACCCCAGACTTCCTCTACTGGGAAGGATAAAGTTTCTTTAGTGCTCTTAGTGGATTCCTCAGTGGTACGAGGAAAAGTCCTCAGTAAGATATTCAATACAGGAATATGGCAAAGTTAAAGAAAAAAGGAATTATTTAAACTTGTCCTTATACAGGTTTTAGTTGTCTTCCCAACTTCATCCTAGGTCACAACACGTATTCTTCATGATTCAACAACTATGCTGCCCTCTACATAGAGGTGCAAAAACACATCCTTCTGCAAATGTATGGATTCCTCATGCAGGCAAGGGAAGGATACCTAATGCTCTACTAAGACCATCTGCTACTAAAATAAAGTTCACACAAAAGGTTTTTGCTTCCACCCTTGTTCCTTGTATGTTTGGGAACACAGGTCTGGAAGAGTCTCCCCTGGCTCACTGAGTGCAGGCTCCACAGTCTCATGCAAGTAGAGGACATTGTTTCAGAAAAAGCTGCAGAACATCTGCTTCACATATCTGTAAATGCTCAGGACACACATTTCTGAATATCCTGTAAAAAGCCAAAAAGCTGCTCGGCAACCTCAGAAACCGCAACTGTTATGTAGTGCAGGAAGAGCACAAGCAGTGTGGCTATCGTAAAGCCGCAAGTCTCTGCAGTACTCAGTAACTAAAACTCCCAGACCATTGTAGTAGGTAGGTAGACCAAACCCATGGCATTACAGGCAACAAAAAAACCCCAAACCCAGAGCCATATGTCCAAATCTCTATGCCAGCCTGACCGGGAGGGAAAAATTCCATCACGGCATTGATGACTGGCTTGATCTTGAGCAATGAGTAAAACCTAGACATCAGTGCATCCTACCTACACTCTCCTTTCAAATCTCGTAGAACTCCAGTGCTTCAAGGAAAGCTGAAAAAGGTCTGGGAATGTTCTCCTTAAGAAACACTTGCTGCAACACCAACCAACCTTTCCTTCCCCACAACGGCTTCAATGCTGCTGCTGTCACCTTCCAGCCTTTAGACCCAATTACAAACTCCTGTTTTACACCCCACTTGTAAATGCTTTTGGGTTTTTTCCATTATTATTCTTTGCCTTTCTCAATAGGGCTTTCTTCTACAGATAAAATCCTCTGGCTCAGTAACAACAAAATAAAAATCCCTCCTGCTGTTATACTAGTAGTAGTACTATTACAACTAGCAGCAGCACAGTACTGTTGAAGTCACGATGGCCTATGAATAACAGAGGAACCAACTTTGCCTTCGCTCAGCCACATCACAGAGTGCTGCATTAAATTAGCATCAGCGTTAAATTACCGTGGCCGATACTCACCGGACTGGTAAATCAATCTATCTCTTTCAACACCTTGTCCTTCAACTCCCACATCATATTTTGACTCTCCCAGTAACCTCTCCCTTTGGTACCAAACTACACCGCTCCTGTCTGTTTGCAGCTGTGCTACGGAGGCTGCTAAACAGGACAGGATTTGAGAATAAGCCACTTCTCCTCTCCACAGTGATGACTGTAATCTACAATTTAGAGAGAAAAATTTGAGAAGCTTGAGAATAAAGTAGCTTTTTTTTTGCTTTCTATCCATACCATTTTACAAAGCTATAAAAGATAGACTCTCTTTCAAAGCTGACTGCTGAACAAATTTCATCTATACTAGAAAATATCGTGTCACATTCAGAATGAAAGCGAGAATGATGAAATACCACAATGGATATGTCATATTACCTAATCCACATTAAATAAAATTATCTTTGAGATCAAATATGATTAGACAAAAGCAGTTTGCAAGAAACCAAACAGGAAATTGCAAAAGTCAAGTTTGATACATTCCCTCTGCATCAAAGATTTTTGCTGCCAGTTTCAACACAGAGTGTGTTTTAAAGAGAGCAAAAGCTTCCATTTCACAACAAGCCCAGCTTGATGTTTTGAATCCAGTTCCACTGGCCTTTTTATGTCTTGGGATTTGATACGGAAAACATTGCTCAGTTTAATCAGGATTTCTTTTTATGTAGAGATTCCCATAAAAGGCAATTCCGACTTCAAACACAAAAAGTGTATTTATGCCATGACACTGCCTTTAACGGCTATGGAGACACTAGTTAAAGACCTTCACAGCAAATGATGGGCATACATTTACCATACTGGCAGCAAAATGCTCAATCTGAGGTGCTTCCCTCCTTTGCTACTTAGTATTTTAAGGGTATCAGCATTTAGGGTGGTCAGTTCTGCAAAATCTTTCAACTAGAACAACCATCCAAAATACAGAGGTACACATACATGTGCACTGTTCTGGTGAGTGATACCTGGTTTTTGGGCCACAAATTCTGTGCCCTCAATGAGTTATTTGAAGTGACAAGCTTCCACCCTGTTAGTACACCTCGTGCTGTCACAGAGGCAGGGAGCATTTGTGTAGCAGCACAGCTACACACCACACTGCAAATGTCAGATCTGAATCTCCTCGTGCCGTCTACGGCTCAAACAAGCTGTTTGCACGATCTGAGGTGAACACATGGTGAAACAGCTCATCTGGATCTCCGAAAGGTTTGCGGTGACCTGATATAAAGCACTGACATTCAGCACCTGACACCAGGTTCCTTTTGTAAAATGGACTTCCAGTTTTTCCTGTTTGTAGGTCAGTAGCACTTCACCGCAGATCTAGAAATAAACCTTACTGCCAATTTCCCATTTGCAGAAATCGTCTCTTACTAAATGCATATGCCCCCCCTCTCACTGCTAAAATGGCCTCACATAAGAGCGCAGGAATGGCCATACGGTGTCAGACAGAAAGCCATCTCCCTTGTGTGTTGCCTCCAACAGTGGCCATAAATAGATGCTTAGGAAACAGTAAGAGCACAACAGGACAAGCATGTTTGATACTACCCCTTAACAACTCACAGGCTCCAACTGTTTTCAGCTTAGGAAGTTCATAAGCCAGATGCTATTGCTATGGATTTAATAACTCACAAAGGATTTTGCTACCATGAACTTGTCCAGCCTCCACCTGAGCTCATCTAAAGCTGAGCATCCTTCTCAGTCTGGCCTCTTACTGCCACTTAACAGTAAAGGTTGCCCAGTGATTCGGGTCACATAAATCATCCTTGGGAGATATGCCCGCCTCTCCACTGGAGAAAGGGAAGAACAGATGATTAATATCAACTGGCAATCTATCTTTTTGGTAGATTAACTTCAGTAAGATGAATCTTATCTTCAGTCTTGATGTCTCTGTTCTCCCAAAAGGTACAGTATTTTCCCTCTTCAGTCTTATTTGAGGTATTACATTAGAGGCTGTGAGACATCCAGACCCGACACTAATGAGAGTTGCGAAGTGCCTGTGATAAACAGTAGGCTAAGGACAGAAAGCCTTCAACGCTTTCTGTGCTTGCTCTATTTGTCTGTCTGTGCCTCCACAAAGCAAATATATGCCAATTTACATTGGCCAAAAACTTCACCCATGTCACTGCCATTACAGTGACCTGTAGTCTGTTTTAGCCTCAGAGGGTTTTTATAGCTCAGGCAAAGCTGTGCAGAGCCTGTGCCACCCTCCCCAAGAGCACTGGGCGAGGAGGCCAGGGCAAAGGGTTAACTGGGAAATGTGACAGTGAGGGACATGGCAGGAGCAGATGGCGAGGGGGAATGCTGTAGCACTGTTAGGAAATGAAACTCTTTTCCTAGTGACTACGTCGATATTGTTAAGTAGCGCTAATAGTACGTCGCTTGCTAAATGGCTTCTGGGACTGGTGAAGAAAGAATTCAAATCATTAAATAGCAACAGGGAGAAAACCAAACAGCAAAATGTCAAGTGGTAATGAGAACACCCACTGCGCTGAATACCTCCTACTGACATCCAAGAGGATGCTTTAGGGTCACGAGGAGGAGAACAAGGCTCTTGAACAGTTAAGTGATACACTTTCCAGTTAGCAGAAAAATCCTATTTTATAACCAAAACGATTCACATGAAGGAAAAACAACATGTCAGATACCAGTCACTGATACTCTAAAAATGATAGCTTTCTTAAGTAGTATGACATAAAATCCGTCACTTAGCAATAATATTGCTCCGTTTCTTTGAGAATCAGGTGTCCGTCTTTTTTCATAGTCAGCCAGAGAAGTGTAACAGTTCCTGCTACCTCATTGGGAAACCAGGCTTGGCATAGAGATTTGAAAGCATAGCTGAATCTTCTAGTAGCCACTTTCCAGAAATGAGGAAACCTCAGCAGTGGCTTTAACAGATGTGCTGTATCTTGGCCCTGGCCTTACCACACACCTCACTGGGAATGGGATGCTGAGAGGTGAAATGTCACCCCAGCTCAGATGTGTTCTGTAAAATCCCTGTTGTTACTTCAGAATATCTAATTTT